TGTTTTATTATGTTTAATTACCAGTGCTATTAATAATAAATTATAAAAATCAATGTTTAGGAATTCTTGTGTCTAACAAAATAGGCTTAAGTTTGATCTTCACGAAGGGACTTAAACCATTGCTTTTTCCCACAAAATCAGTTTTACCAGCACTGCATTCTGATTTTCTTACAAATAGTCTCCTGAGTTTATTCATGGTAATATGTGCTTTAGGAAAATAGATTGTTAGTCTATTTGAGCAAACCTGTTTCTTTTTCCCTTTGAGAAAAATAAGTTCAATATCATCTCCCTTCCAGAACAATAAAACCCTCAAACTGTGCTATCATTAAATACTACACAAAACCATGAACTAGAGAGAAAAACAATGCAAATAAATGTTCATTAATCCATTAAAAATCACAGTATTCTAAAGTCTTATAGAAAGGGTTTGTTTTTACTGGTTAAGCAGTTATAGAAGCCCCATCAAAAAAATGTTCCATTCAAATTTGCATTTGTGGCTATAGAATTCTAGCCAAAATTGACATGATTGGGCATCCCTACCTGGGCTCCTTGTAAAAAATGGTGGTATAGTTTAAAGCTTTCCCTTATAATAAAGTTTCCCTCTACTACTGTTATGCTAGCATATTTGAATTTTTCAGCAGAAAACTCTCACACAATTATTGAGTACATCCACTAGCATACCTGTGTCTGTTACACATTGTCAATCCTCATTGGTTGATAAGGAATCATACTGTTCATTGTTTAATTCTTATAGTGTTCCTTTCATGATAGGACTGTATGACATGATCCTTCTGAGCATGCTAAATGAAAATTATGACTGTCTACTTTTTAAAGCCATTGGTTATGGAAAGCCTAAAGATTATTTTGTGATTATTTTAATTTTCTAATTTCACTTCCCCTAATTTTACTACTTAAAAGCATACATGGGCATAGTATCTCTGTCTTGAAAAGTTCAACACCTCAGAGTTTGACATATCAATTTTGATAGGAAGAAGGTATAACAGCTAAACAAGATAATGACAGGAAGAAAATAAGTCATAATATATGGACACACATTATTACGTGCAAATGCTTATAGTAATAAAACCAAATGAGGAAATGAAAATGCCAAATTGGAACATAGAAAGCCATAAGACATGATACCAGTCTATTTCTAAGTATTTTTTTACATGTGGCATTAGATGTTCTTTAATATCTTTCAACTATGTCAAAAAGACATCTCAAAATAAGAATACATACTTTTATGTATCACATCCAAGAAACAGATCTTTGTGCATGGGGTATAGATCACTTACATTATAAAGAGAATATATATACATAGTTTCTTTTATTAAATACCAAAGTTACAAGTCTCCTAGCCTAAATTGTATACTTCAGCACTCAGTAATCAACTCTCTCTCTCTGAACTAAGGAAAATAAAATACATAGCAAATAGTACACCTAGCACTCACAAGTAGTTCACTTATATTCACTAAACAAAAATTGTGATATCCTCAGGTTTACATTCATGAATTCTGTCAGTAGTAGTAGTAGTAGTAATGGTATTTTCTTCAACAACACAAAGTAATTCTTTAAAATTTCATCATTTAGAGAAAACAATACATATTACACAGTGGTTCTGAATCATAAATTTAATAAGACCAATTTGGCCAGATCTTTTTTATAAATATGATTTTAAAATATGCTCAAATTTTACGTAGACCATGTATATTATTCTTATTTAAAATGTTTATCTTCTTGAAGTATAGCTATCATGTAGCATTGTCTAAAGTTCACTGTAATACATTATAATATATCCTGTGTGCTAAGTGCACAAGTCTACTACAGTAAAATTTCAACTATATTACCATAGGATTGAAGGTAGATTAATATGCTACACTGTAACTCAAAGCACATGGAAGTCATAAAAATAGAGTAACTCGTTTATAAAGGGGACAGATAATAATTAAATCCAATTGATTAACTTGAAAGTCAACTTACATAACATCAAGATAGTGTCAACACCATGTACTTTATTTTCAAAGGCTTAACTATGAACTATTTAGAATATTACACCTTCAGTATAAAGCCTTTGGCTAAAGAACTCTTCACTTGTACCACAATTCCATTAGATGTAAAATGTACAGAAGCCATATGGAAACCTGTATTTCTAGATGAGGCCACATATGGGTCATATACAGGTCTGTCTATACACATTATCGGTGATTTAATTCTTCTATAAAAACTTTGGCACCAACCATAACAGAAATTCATATATTAGCACAAATGTATTTTGTTCTGGCACCAAAGTACTATGTCTACATTTTAGTAACTACAGACAGTCAAATAAACGGAGTCCTTTGGTTGTGCACAACAAGCTTCTACAATACTTTTTTGTTTTTGTTTGGGAAAAAAAAGAGCTTACTCTTCAGGATCTGAAATTAAAAAAAGAACAAAAACCTGATATTGTTTGTCATTATGCTGTCATACATACATCTTGATTGTTGGTAATTATTCCCCAAACCATTATTGTATGAAACCAGAAATACTTTTAAAGTAACTTCATTTGAAATTAACTTAGAAGTTAGTGTGCAGAGAAGTTGTTATGACCTTGTGGACACCAATTATATGCTTAAATGAATACTTGGACACTACTGCAAAACAACATAGTATGAATATTGTGAACCTGTGTATGTTTTTTTTAAATCTCATTCCCCCTAAAAATGGGGACTTAAACAAAATATTCAAGTAACGTAGCAGAAAAAAATGCCTTTGATATAAGATTAGGCAAAAAGCCACACATTTAATTTTCTCTTCATCCAGTTTGGTTGAGAAACACTGCAAATCTTACAGGCCAGTTGATGTTCGCTTTTTCATGCTCCGTCGCTGAGCTAAGCTTGAAGCAGCAACAGGCTCTAGGAGTGGTTGAAAGGCCTTGTGAGTCAGGGCAGAATATGTGGCAACCACTGCTCCCTAAAATAATGAGAAAATGTCACAAATTGACTAATAATCTCTAGAGATAAAAAAGAAAACTTTCACATTATATCATAAGACATTTAACTAGAACAAAACTTTTCCCCTGGAAAATAAATCAATGTACTTGATCTGTACATTGATGTTCCCTTGATGAATTAATGTCTGATTAATTGCATATGTCTCATTTCAATAACTATTCTTCTTACAAAAATTGTTAAAACTCTAATATTTAAAATCTAGGTTCAATGTCTATGAATATAAGGAACTGATATGGATGATTATAATTTAGGAACTAATAGCAATCTTCTGTTTCCATATGAAAATTGCATTTAGTCTACTCCTAGCCCCAGTGTCTATCAAGAGCAAGACAAGTATAATTAAGAAATTTTTATTTCAAAAAGGCAGTAGTAAAGAAAGTTAAAAAGAGTACATGGTTGTTATTTAAATAAACAAACAAAATCTATCTTTAAAAAACTGAAGCTATTTTAAGGAATTATCTAAGTGTAATCAGTGAATGGCATACAATAGCTTTATTAGGTATCAAATATTTAGAACACATGTAAAAGAAGGTTTCTTTTACCTTAACAACATGCACTGCATCGTTTCTCTTTGGCTGATCGTTTGGCAACTGGTCTCTGTGGGTTATCCATGGGTGCTTTAATACTTGTTCAGTGGTGTACCTCTGATGTGGGTCCATATGAAGCATATGGGAAAGCAAATCCTAAATTAAAATGAAATGTGTGTGTATGTGAAACAAAATATCATTTCACATCTTCTCAAAATATGAAATCATTAGTAGTTTTTCAATCTGTTTTATTTGACATACACTTAGGGAAAAAAAATCCTATACCCTGCACAGTTAACTGTCAAAGAGAATCTTGAAACGTCTGGGGGATGGACAGACTTGAAGTTCTGACTCGGGGGTAGGGGGGGCAAGGGCAATATACGTATCCTAAACATTTATACCCCCATAATATGCTGAAATAAAAATAAAAAATAAATTAAAAAATTAAAAAAAATTGATATATAGTAAATCCTTACTTGTCACTTTTAAATTGGGGGATGCCAGATCTGTGGAACTCTCTCCTACTGAGGGTGGAGGAAAATGTCAGTGGCAGGAGTTATCCTGGAATGTGCTAAGTGGTCAGGAGGAGAAAGGATCTATTTAATTTTGCTAGTAAGCTGGGCCCTAAAGTGTAAGAGTATGTGCATACAACATAACATAGAAGAGAGGGTTCCATGTTGTTAATCCCCTCAATTGGGGGCTAATAAACCATCTCTACCAAGCACCTTTTAGAGAAAGAAGAAATAAACTCTCCTTAACAAGCATTTTCCAATATAGAAACAAAATCACCATTTGTAAACTTTTCATCAATAGCAGCAGCAGTGAAATTAAAGACTCTAAGTAGTAATATCAGATTCTGAGGAATAACATAATTGGTTGAAACTATGCAAGGGAGCAGGGCAGCCATTCAAAAAAATCTGGGAAAACAGCATATGTGTGGAAATCAATGGAAAATATTAAAAAAATATCACCATTTGTAAACTTTTCATCAATAGCAGCAGCAGTGAAATTAAAGACTCTAAGTAGTAATATCAGATTCTGAGGAATAACATAATTGGTCGAAACTATGCAAGGGAGCAGGGCAGCCATTCAAAAAAATCTGGGAAAACAGCATATGTGTGGAAATCAATGGAAAATATTAAAAAAATAACAATGAATTATTTAGATGCAACAAACCTAAATTGTAATTATAAAAATGATAAAGTTTCAACAGTCCAAGTATTTCTGCTTCTGGTCAAGATGGAATAAGAGAGACTAGATTTACTTGCCTGCCTGAAAAAGCAAGAAAAACAAATAAAAAAACAAAAATTATATGAAATAACAGTTTTTAGGAGATCATATGTTAAGCAATTAAGGAGAGTGATTCATAAGAGATGGGAAATGATGAGGTTAGCATTATGATTGTTCCAGCTTACCACCTTGAGAGAGTTTTCAGGCTGTTATGCAGGTAAAGGAAACCCAGGCAGAGCCTGGTAAATTTAAGCTGAGGAGACAGAACTGAGAGTCAGGGTAGACAAAGGCAGACAGAGATAGCAGGGCAGAGTACCAAAGAGATAAAAGGAGCAGAGAGAGAGAATTATAAAAATTTATAAAAAGTCTCCCTCAAGCATTCAGCAGATTACTACTGATAAACACATGTGTAAGGAAACAACTCAAGACCTTGGGAAGAACTATCTGAAAGAATTAGAGGGAAATAAAAACTCATGCAGGGTGGGGGATATAGCCTATTACCACCAGCCAAAAAGGGGAAAACCTTATAATTCATGAAGTATTAGATAGACTACTTGGAAGCATCTTTCTTGAATAGTGAGTAGCCCTAAACACTGCTCTGGTCCTGCCTAGCAAATCTTAAAAGGAAGACCCAAAAGTATCAGACTGTTTCCAGTAGCTTAACTGTTGCTAAGAATCAAAAGATCAAGAATGTTTAAAGCATGGGTCCCCTAACTATGGTGAGTTGTATAATTATTTCATTACATATTACAATGTAATAAAAATAGAAATAAAGTACTCAATAAATGTAATATGTTTGAATCATCCAGAAACCATCCCCCCCACACATGGTCCGTGGAAAAACTGTCTTCCATTAAAATGGTCCCTAGTGCCAAAAAGGCTGGGTACAACTGATTAAAGGAAAAACAAGAAGAAACTTAAGAAGAACTAGTGCATATGCTGTAGAAATTACTCCACGATATTGAGAAGGAAGCATCTTCCCCAACACGTTTGATGAAGCCAACATCACCCTGATACCAAAACCAGGAAAGCAAATAACAAAAAAAGAAAACTACAGACTAATATCCCTTATGAATACAGATGCAAAAATTCTCAACAAAATCCTAGCAAATTGAATTCAGGTGTTTATCAAAAAAATAATCCATCACAATCAAGTGGGCTTCATCCCAAAGATGCAGGAATGAGTCAACATATGCAAATCTATAAATGTAATTCACCACATAAATAGAAGCAAAAACAAAGACCATGAGATACTCTCAACAGACACAGAAAAAGCATTCGACAAAATTCAGCACCCTTTTACGATAAGAATGGATAACAAAATAGGCACAGATAGGACATACCTAAAAATAATACATGCCATATATGACAAACCCACAGCCAACATCATACTGAATGGGGAAAAATTGAAAGCATTCCCACTTAGAACTACAACCAGACAAAGTTGCCCTCTATCACCACTTCTATTCAACATAGCGTTGAATGTCCTAGCCAGAGAAATCAAACAAAAGAAGGAAATCAAAGGCATCCAAATGGGGCAGAAAAGGTCAAACCATCACTCTTTGATGGCACTATGATCTTATATCTAGAAAACCCCAAACATTCTGCCACAAAACTACTGGAATTGATAAACAAATTCAGCAAAGTCTCATGTTACAAAATCAATGTACAGAAATCAGTAGCATTCTTATATGCTAACAACTTTCAAAGTGAGAACCAAATCAAAACCTCAATATCCTTCACAAGAGCAACACAGAAAATAAAATACCTGGGGATATATTAACTAAGGAGGTGAAAGACCTCTACAAGGAAAACTATGAAACACTGAGGAAAGAAATAGCAGAGGACATAAACAGGTGGAAAACAGTATCATGCTCTTGGGTCAGCAGAATCAACATTGTTAAAATGTCTGTACTACACAAAGTGATCTACAGATTCAATGCAATTCCTATTAAAATACCAACATCATTTATTGTAGATTTGGAAAACATAATTCTGTGCATTGTATGGAACCAGAGAAGATGCCTTATAGCAAAAGCAGTCTTAGGCAAAAAGAACAAATTGGGAGGCATCAATTTACCAGACTTCAAGCTATCCTACAAAGCTATAGTAATTAAAATAGCATGGTACTGGCACAAGAACAGAAACTCAGAACAATGGAACAGAACTGAGAACCCAAATGTAAAACCATCCTCATACAGCCATCTAATCTTTCACAAAGCAGACAAAAACATACACTGGGGACAAGAATCCTCATTCAATAAATGGTGCTGGGAAAACTGGATAGCCACACGTAAAAGACTGAAACAAGATCCACACCTCTCACCTCTCACAAAAATCAACTCACGATGGATAACAGACTTAAACCTACGGCATGAAATTATAAGAATTCTACAAGAAAATGTTGGAAAAACTCTTACAGATGTTGGCTAAGGCAAAGAATTTACGAAGAAGACCCCAAAGGCAATCACGGCAATAACAAAAACAAATAAATGGGATCTGATCAAATTAAAAAGCTTCTGCACAGCCAAGGAAACTATCATGAGAGCAAACGGACAACCTACAGAATGGGAGAAAATATTTGCATGCTACACATCCGAGAAAGGGCTAATAACTATAATCTATATAGAATTCAGGAAAATCAGCAAGAAAAAATCAAACAACCCTATCAAAATGTGGGCAAAGGACATGAACAGAAACTTTTCAAAAGAAGATAGACTTAATGGCCAACAAACACATGAAAAAATGCTCAACATCTGTAATCATCAGGGAAACGCAAATCAAAACCACAATGAGATATCATCACTTATCTCTAGTGAGAATGGCCTTTATCCAAAAGTCCCAAAACAATAAATGTTGGCATGGATGCGGAAAGATAAGAACACTCATATACTGCTGGTGGGACTGAAAACTAGTACAACCTCTGTGGAATGTAATATGGAGATACCTCAAAGAGCTACAAGTAGATCTACTACCATTTGATCCAGCAATCCCATTACTGGGCATCTACCCAAAGGGAAACAAAAAGACATTCTATAAAAAAGACATCTGCACTCGAATGTTTATAGCAGCACAATTCATAATTGCAAAGATGTGAAAACAACCCAAGTGCCCATCAATACATGAGTGGATTAATAAAATGTGGTATATGTATACCAGGGAATTCTACAGAGCCACAAAAAATAATGGTGATGCAGCACCTCTTGTATTTTCCTGGATAGAGCTGAATCCCATTCTACTAAGTGAAGTATCACAAGAATGCAAAAAGAAGCATGACATGTACTCACCATCAAATTGGCATTAACAGACTAAACTGACCAACACGTAAGTAAGTGCACATATAGTAGTAACATTCATCGAGTGTTGGGCAGGTGGGAGGGAGGCGAAGGGGATGGGTATATGCACACCTAATGGGTGCAGTGTGCACTGTCTGGGGGATGCACACGCTTGAATCTCTGACTGAGGTGGGGCAAAGGCAATATTTGTAAGCTCAATATTTGTACTTCCATAATATGCTGAAAGAAAAAAAATAAATAAAAAAGAAACTTAACCTAAAATTAGTAGAAGGAAAGAAATAATAAATATCAGAGAAGAAATAAACAAAATAAAGACTAAAAAAATAAAAACAAATCAATGAAATAAATATTTGGTTCTCTTGAAAAGATAAAATTGACAATGTGTAGCTTGACTAAGAAAAAAAGAGAAAACAGAGATAGATAAATAAAATCCAATGAAAATGAAGACATTACAACTAATACCACAGAAATATAAAGAATCATAAGAGACTATTAGGAACAACTATATGGCAAGAAATTGGAAAACCTAGAAGAAATGAATAAATTCCTGGACATATAAAATGTACCAAAATTGAGTCATAAAGAAATAGAAAATCTGAAAGGATCAATAACGAGTAAGAAGACTGAATC